CTACGACTTCAACAGGTCGGAGTAACGCTGGCAACTTTTGCAATGAAATCACGAATCTCAGCGGTTGACGAACACGACCAGCTCTTAAAGCTCTTACCTGCCTCAATGGGGCCTTGTCAGGAGCTGGCTCAGCAGCGACAGCAAAGCATGTCGTTCAGAATGCCAGAGGCGATCGTGCTCTACCTCACATCAATCTTGCAACATGGCCCCAAGACCCTCTATGATGTGTACACATGTGTAAATATACACATATTACATACACACACACATATATATATATACATACATACTCACATACATACATACATACACACACACATACATACATACATACATACATACATACATACATACATACATACTACGTACAGACATACATATATACATATTACGATGGCGCGCACACACACACACGCGTGCACATGCAGGTACACATGCATGCACATTATATGCATGTATGCATATATACATGTCAAACACATACATGTACATGCACATATAAATACACATACATTCACATCAAATACCATATACATTGCATATATAACAAAGCAAATACATATATAAACCAGCGACAAATACATAATTATACATGCATGCATACACACATACCGGCCTACCTACCTACCTACCTACCTACCTACCTGCCTGAATGCCTGCCTGCCTACCTACCTACCTACCTACATACACACATACACACATACATACAAATGCACACAGGCACATACATACATACATACATACATACATACTTGCTTACCTCCTTACCTACATGCGTACATATGATCTACTTCTTGTGACTGCTTCGAGTTGTGCCGCCGAGGCGCTACAGTGATTTGAGATCTCTGTGCAAGTCAAGGCACGTAGACTTGCATCAGCAGCTTCATGTCTTCGTAGCGCCTGATGGGGAGCAACTGTCGGATTCTCAGGCTAGATGAAAGGATTGCGTGACCACGACAATAAGGGAGTGACAGACCTCTCTGCAGAAACATATAATAATAATAATACTAATAATAATAACAATAATAATAATAATAGTAATAATAATAAGAACACTGACAATCACAAATAGTCATAATTAGTAGTCATAGTACATATAATCGTCACAATTTCATAACAACAGTCATGGTATATACAGGGCCTCACCTGCTCCCACCGTGGCCAAACGCACGGCATCGCACGGCCTCGGCTTGTCCCTTCGTAGGTAGCTTCCTACCTCGCTCTTGCTTTGGACAAAATCTCTTTAATGAAGGCATATGTATAAACATATACATGTCTGTATGTATGTGTGTGTATATATATATGTCTATGTAGAATCCCGCTTCGAGAGCGATTCAGTGATTTTACAAGCCAACAGTCACAATGGCTGCGGCTTGCAGCACTGCCTGTGCAGCCCGCTTTTGGAGATCGAGCAAGCGGCTCTCACAACCGCGCGCTCTTGCATTGCATCCCAAACGCTGTCCGTGGACAAAATCGCGATCCGATGCCTTTCGGCCTCTTCAGTCAACTCTGATTGCATACACCCCTCCGCCGCCTGCAAGGCTGTCATGCAGGCTTGCCCGAGGAATTAGGCAGGAGCATCGGACTGTGGTCCGGCTGCCTCGCGAGTTCCTACAAAAGTGTGCGGCCGTTTTCGACAGCCACAGTTGCGACAAGGTGGCCAAGCTCGCCGAGTGGCGAGCTTGGCAGCCATGCCACAATCGTGGTCGGCAAAGCACGTGTGTGTACACTTTCCATTCTCGCTCCGTCAGTTCTCAAGAGCAAAGTTTCCGCCACTGCCGTACTGTGGCAAACCCTCTGGCCCCTTGATCCCGACACCATGAGCAATCGCAAGACTGCCCACGGCTGCAGTTCCAGAGAATCGAATGTGTACGACGACAGAAGAGTCAAAGAAGAGCTAGTCGATGCCATGTGCTGGGAGGCTGCACCATCAAAGCCTACAGCCTAGGGTCCACCTTGCACATGCAAACAAACGTTTTGCCATGATGCCCCAACCTTTCTCATTGGTGGATGATCGTCCAATTTGAGCAACATTTCGACGCGTCATGCTCAAGGTTGCTCGATCATGTTTGGAATACTCAAACACCATCTTGCTTGGCAGCCAGACCGCTATTTGCTTCCCGTGCCGGAGCTGCAGGCCCTTGTTGCCCTTGATCGTGGTTCGTGATGACCAAACTCATCTCTGTGCAACTGCAGATGACTCTTGGAGCTCTCCCAAGCTCAAGGATTCAATTTGCCACCTGCGCTGAAGGGGGGGAGCGACGGCTGTGGTTGTCAATTACAATGCCACACCCAACACGGAATTTGAGCTTGAACGCAAAACGACACAAGAGCTTGCGTCGTGCCAATGCATCAAATCTTCAATGATTCAACCGACACCAGCTCTAGGACTTTAGACGTCAACGTCTGAGTCAGCATTACCGGTTGGACACCGGCTCAAGACTGGACATGAGAGTGCTTTCAACCGGCACAGCTGTCGCCGAAATTCACCCAAGTAGCTTGTTTCTCGGAGCATATCGCCATGGATGCCGGCAGTTCCTCGAGCTTGCACTTTCTCATGGCTCTCTGTGGTCTGGGAGGCTGTGGACTTTGCCCTCCCTGTTCTCGGGGGCCTTCGCCATGGGCTCAGAGGGGGAGCTTCTGCCACTGGCTCGCGCAGCACGACGGGCGCTTGGCAGCCAAGCCTGAGAAGTCGAGTCTGCCTCCCTTCAGATGGGGCTTTGAAGCTTGGGGCTTCGGTTGTCGGGTCTTTCTCTTTTCCTTCGGGATCCCTCATGTTCCTGAAGCTCTCAAACAAATCCACTGTTGTGAGTGTGGTCTAGTGCCACGACGTTCACAACAATAAACGAATCCGAGTGGCACGTGACGACGCATATCGGAACGACAAGGAAGTCCTCCTCAACACCTGACTCCCCCTTACCAGCGAGCTCTTCTTGTCTTGATGAGCTGCGAAATTGCACACGTCGTGACGCAAGATCTGTGGCAAAACCCTATACATCGTGTACGCTAAGGCGCGTGGGCCGTGTGCAGTTCTCCAAGGCTGAACTGCGCCGCGAGGACAGAATCTTGGTCGCTGGGCTGCAGCCAACCTGACGTCCAAGACCCCAGCGTCGTCCAGTGGCCCTCTTCAGGTTTCGGACTTTGGCTTCATGTCCTTGCCGCTCTCTGTATATAGCTAACAGAATTATTGACATCATTGGTTTGGGTAGTGGTAGCACTGATCAACAGAACAAGGGCAGAATTAAGAATGCGTGTAAGTAGAAGATGTAGAAGAAAAACGTGCAGATGTGTCAATCAACATATGTGTTGCTAAATTTTTACACACATACACAATGCTCTACTGTACCCACTCCTTTCTTTGAAGGGGGTTCGTGTGGGAGAGAGAAAAGCCAAGAATGCGCAATTGCCTTGTAGCCTGCGCAGTGCGGGCTTCACACGACGCCGGGCAAAGGCTGCAGCCTGAAGGGATGGCTAGCTATTCAATCTCATACTATCTCATGCTTCTCTGGCTCGGCCCAAGGTGGACACTGAGGACAAGTTGATTCAATAAACTTGCATGGACGGAACAAGCTGGACAAGGCATCGAACAGCGGATCATATGTGAACACCCTACTGGTCAACCTGTCAAATGCAGGTTGCACCTGCGATGCCAAGAGAGCATGGCCCAAGAGCTCGAGAACCAACGCTTCCTGGCACTCGGTGTTCGGCTAGGATCGTGGGGTCGCAACATGTTCATCGACGTCTGGTGCTGATATCCTCATCAAAGCGTGTCCTGGTTGCCGTCTGCCGTTCTGACGAACTGGAGTGAATGGGCAAGAGGTGGGAGGAGCCGCGTTTGACCTCCAGTCTCGAAGACCTGCAGCAATCACGCCAAGATGCTCCGCACATGCACGACGCTCTCAGAAGCTATTCAGCCTTGATGGTCGCATCCAAGGTAAGGAGATCTGGCTGCAATCCTCTTCCCTCGCAGGGAAGTGGCTTCAGGCTCGGACATTTTGAATTGCTGCGAGTCGTCAGTGCTCAGACTTTGTCCTCGTCCAGCATGGCAAAAAGCCGTAGCCTGGGGAGTGGGAAGACCGCGGTACCACACGGCACCAGTTCATGTGTAGATGGTGGATGATTCCCTGCGGATGTCGCTGATCTCTCCCTCTATCCACTGTCAGGGTCAATGTGACTCCTATCTTTCGTGGTTGAACTAGGGCTTAGCACGGGGTTCCTGCCTTTGCCTAAGATGTGCTTCAATTCATCCTCTGTCTGGCTGGAGGAACATGACTTGGCACCACCTGCAACAACATTGAACGGCTCAATCTCCTAACTTTGGGAATTGTCGTTTGCTTACCTAGGGGGGTCGGAGATTTGTCATTTTGGAGCCCTTCGAACTAAGAAAATTACATTGAAAAATGACTTTCAGTTGGAAGCAACAACTAACTGTCAGAAAAAACGCGCTTCATCGTTGAGAAAGCAGGTGCCGAAGGTGACCTCAGAAGAATTGAAGAACTGCTTCTTAAGCGTCGCTGCTGCTGTGGTTGAAGCAGCAGTATGAGAAGTAATTAGTTGGTATGTTCCACTAGCTAGTAGTTGAGCTTCACTACCAGCACTACCTCCTGGCCACTTAGCCTTCCTTCAAGACTCCAACAACATCTGGGTCTTCTCAGTTCACGAGAACCTCTCAACATTGGGGCCTCTCATCTCGCGGTTCACCTCGAGGAAGCCTCTCTCATCTCTTGCCGCTAGTGTCGAGCGGTAGACGCTCGCGTGAGCACGTACTATAGACTGGGAAGCAAATCCGTGGACTTGTATCACTTTTAGTAGTGGTAGAAAGTCGCAGTCCCAAACCACTTCTCTATAGGTCTTGACTCGTCTTCATGGTGCAATCAAGCAGCGCATGGGTCCAGCTGTCGCCCCGTTGGCATGCACGTGCTAGGCCGTTGAATGTGAATTGGTTTGGCGGCGGGCCTGCTGTCTGCATCACCTGGGATGCGAGTGTCTCATGAAACGACTCGGGGACTAAGGATTTGTAGTTAACCTTCATTTCGAGTGTCTACAACATAAACTTTAAACACGAGGTTGTAGGCGTAGCGGTATTTTGCCATATGTGTATATATATATGTTATGTATATGATACCCATATCGCATACATGTCTATCTATCTATCTATCTATCTATCTATCTATCTATCTATATATATATATATACATACACATAGACAAGGGTGGTGTAGGTATGCGTGTACGGATAGAGGTACGTGCAGACCGCAAATGTACTCACCTGTGTACTTACCAGCATACAGAGAGAGGAGAATAAAGATAAGGATAACTGAAGCAATAAGCACAAACAAGGCATGGCTTTCGGAAGCAGGAATCGCGGGCACTCAACTCTCAGCTCAGCTGTCCATCGAGAGATACCAGTTTCCATATGCGCGTACTGACTAAAGATGGGTTCATACGGCGAACAGCAGCCTTTGAGGTAATTACTTCACCAACGCCACAAATCTGACCCTAAAGCCCGAAATCCCAAAGCGCTCAACCGATAAGTTAAGCCTTATGATATAAAGCCAGCAAATTAAAGCAAACCCTAAACTTTCCTAAACCCTAAACCCCAAACTTCGGCCCTAAACGAAATCATGGAGCTTGCACTAGCGCCGCGGCTTGGCGCCAGGATCCATCTTCGGCCCAGGCGCTGCAAAGGGCGCTGAAGGCCTGCAGAGTCCGAAGTTTCAGCTTCGGGGTGGCTTCAGGGCTTCTTCGGGTTTAGGGTTTACAGGGTTTGGGGTTTAGGGTTTAGAGGGTTTAGGGTTCAGGAGCTCATTGCAGGAGCTCAGTTCGGTTCGAAGAGCCTTCGTCAGTTCAATCGCAGGCCAAACTTTGGCAGTAACATGCTGGGATATGCGGGGTAAATGCTGAGTAGATTGGAGCTGGCTGAACCGATATCTCCATGGAAACCAGAAGGGGTCTTTTCGAGTTGCCATCATTCGATGCAGCTGGGATTTCGGAATCCAGACCAAGTGCCGATCTAAAGGACTGTCATGTCATGAGTGCGCACTTTCATGCCTGCCCTGCTTTGCCCTGGCTGCTATGAGAACGTAATCACCTTGTAAATCAACTGAAGTCGAATCACCCTGGGATGCCTGCACGTTGGGCTGGACACTCTGACAGCCTCGCTTGCACATGGAGGCAGGCTGAAGGGATGAACATGTCATGTAGAGTCTCTCTCTCTCTTGCAACTCCGGAGCCCATAACACACAGCAGATCCGCGGCCGTCCGCCACCGCTGCGCCTGTGGCGAGTGAGAAGACCCCAAGCGTACAGGAAAAGGCAGGGCCCCTGCCTTTTCGGCTGCTGAACTGGTGGCAGTGAAGGTGAAAACATTGGCCTCCGCTTGGGGAGACTTGCGGTTTGCGCTTGCGGCTGTCTTGAGGTCAGAAGTGGAAAGACCGAAAAAAGAGCAGCAACAGCGCAGGCGCACTCCGGAGGTGAAGAAATGCGCCTGCACCGACTCGCGGTCGATGCTATGCAGCAAGGCCTGAGCCTCGGCTCTCAGGAATTCGGTCAGAAGAGCACTCGCAGCCGAGATATTCTCCCCCCACCTGCTGCCAGCGATACCCGCGGCCCCAGGCACTCACTGCTACGCTCCGCGTGATGATGTTGTGACGCAGGCCCTGAGGCATGAACGCAGCATCATCAGCTCATGCGAAGTCATAGAAATTCAGATTTCCGCTCACCTTCATATTCTATTCATGACATCTGTTCTTATCTGGCTTATGCGTTTGTTGGTTTGGTTGCTTGGTCGTTCAGTAGTTGTAAAGTTCAGTCATAAAATGCTAATCAGTTCATGTGTCTGGCTTCTTTAGCTTTCCTCCTCTATTGAGCATCATTTGCAGAATACAGTTACCTAATGCAGTAAGGTATAGTCTGATGAATCCTGCGAAGCGTCTTTATCTCAAAAGCTCCAAGAGCAGACATACTGGTGATGATCAAAATCCTGCATTACCTTAAGGACCCTAAACTATGGGAATTATGGTATATTCCTTATTATGGGTAATGCAGGATTTTGATCATCAACCATACTCCCTGCATCAAAGGTTTCTTTAGTTCGGAATAGACTCCGAAGTAGTGACACTGGTAATGAAAGGCGAGCCAAACAGGACTGCTGAAATGTTAAACTAGATAACAAAGGAGCCTCAAGAATCAGAATAGGGTTTGGGGGCCCGTTATACTATAAGTATACCCATAAGGAGCCCTCAAAATGATAATGGTAATTATCTAGGCCACTGGTTACATTACTCATCTCCCAGAGTCCCCCGAAAGTTCCATCGCTGCCCGGCCCCAAGGCGCCAAAGCCATCCCGAAAGATGAAAAACCCTACCTCCTGACCCAGGTCTTCAGCCAGGCGTAGTGCCCACAACCTTGGTTCCAATTGAGGACATGCAAAGCACTTCCACCTGGCTGCGTCTCTGAGCCTCCCACACAGCAGTGCAACTCCCGTCTCTTGCAACTCTTCCCTAAAACTTCGGCAGAATTCAGACAGGACGAGACCGGAAATAAATAGTTTCCTTCTTCTGCCGGGCTATGTCGACCGCATGCCACACACACTAACCGATTTCGGGCCATGGTGCCAGTTGCGCCGTTCCGCAGCACTCATTGCAGCACCGAAAGCCACCAGCCGGTCACTGACCTGTATATGACGCTGTGATGTCTACATCAACTCCTATATGCCATGTAGCTTTAGTGCTGGTATGATTTTGAAGACTAAACGGGGGTTCACTGGATAGACGAGAGACACCGGAGCCCTTTTTCAGGCACTGGATTCCAAGCGATGATGTCCGAGATGCTGCATTCTCCAGACGGCCCGAGTTTCGGGCTGTCTTGAGTGGCGGGGGAGGGGGGGGGAGTTCGGGCTTTAGGGTTCAGGCCTTTTGGGGCTTTGTGACGGCTTAAGGCTTGCATGAGTTCCCCTCCCTCCAGCAGCCCACATGGCATGGAGTGGAGCTTCAGAATTTACGGGATCTCCAAGGAAAACACCCAAAAATTGCAGGATCTTAAATTATTGCAGGAATCCCTAAGCTTCAGAGAAACCTCCACATCTTCAAAAAAAAAGGCCGAAGGCACTTGGACATCTTTGGTCCGCTTCCCGAGGCCCGGCTGGTGGCAAACACCTTGCGACCAAGGCTGTCGCATCTCACCAAGACGAGGCAAAAGTAAGACTAGGGGTTCCTTTAAAGGGTCCCTGAAAAGGGATACTATAAGGGTTACTAAGTTACTATAGGGGTTCTGTACTAGATAGATGTACTATGACCGATTTGACCGATATACAGAAGTATAACAGACGTCTGCATGTTATTGATTGGATCCTATGCCATAGGCCATATGATGCAACATTCCAGATCCAGAAACTTGCTCCCAGTGGTACAGCTGGTCGGTGGTTGTAGATTCCATTGTAGATGCGATCCCGGACATGCCAATGTGGAGCCAAAGGCAGTTTTTGTTACGTACTTTTCACGCAAGCTTTCTGCGCTGAGGCCTGCCAGCCGCATCTCTCCCAAGAAGTGCAGCGCGAGCTGCCACTGAGCTCCGATCTGACAGCTAGATATCCATGTAGTGACAGAGACCCTTCATAGCAGCTCTGACACCGTTGCAGTTGAATGCGTGGTCTACCTGGCGATCCCCTGCCTGGCAGGCGCCAATTGCAGCCGCATAGAGACCAGCGTCGACGTGGCACGCAGTCGCGAGGAGCAGCAAGGCCCTGCAGTAGTGGAGGCAGGCGGATGTGGCTGAATCTGCAATACTGCAGCACGGGTAAAACTGCTGAAATTGAGAGATGACTGCAACTAGTCTTTTTTATCTGCTAGTGCTATCGATACTGCTGCAATGAAGGTAATGCTACAGTGTTTCTGCAAGGGCCGTATCGAGTTGGACTTTCAATTGGGAGTGCGCTGAGGATTATTGTTGAAAAGATCATGGTTGGAACTTTAAGGACCGTAGCGACACTGTAGTGTGTATGTGGGACATCTGGCTTCGGGCTTTTGTTGTCCTAGTATCCAAGCATCTAGCAGGATCTAGCATCTGTCGGATGCCCGTTGAAAAAACCGGTGACAAGAAGAGGACTTGCGCGGAGTCTGATGGGGGCGGTTGACATAGTCAATAGCACCCACATGTAGGGATCGCGGAGGGCATAGGGGATGAATAGTATCGCTTGGGACTGGCGCTTGTAGTCAGGATTGCAAAGCGAACTTTAAACAGGACTCCCCAACCCTGAGACCCCAAGGCTCTTCGACACCTACTGAGTCCTATAAACCCTCGAAGCCCCAACAGCCTCCTAAACCCTCCCCCTAAAGATCCCAAACCCGAAACCCTGAAATCCCAAGACCTTCTTGCCTCTGCCACTCGCCGGCATCACCGCAGGCAGAAACCACGGCGCTCCAAAGACTCGCATCGGGAGCCTCAATCGGAGGCCAAAGTACTATATTATTTTATGTTCGACTATATTTTTTTATATTACACTATATTATATTGCATTATTTTGTGAGAACACCGAGACGAAGAACTTGGGGCTTACGGGGTTTTGGGCTTAGGGTTTAGAGTTTAGGGGGTTATGGGGTTTAGGGGTGTTTTGGGCTTAGGGTTGATTTAAGGATGAGGGTTTCAGGTCGAGGATTTTCGGATTCGAGCTGAGGCATCAAAGTCATCATCATTGGAAAACAACAGTGTTAAAACTGATGCTAGCAACAGTTACACTAGCATAGCAACAGCAGTAACAAAAAATAACCTGGCAACAACCACAATAGCGATTTAGCAGTAATCAGACGCGGCCGCGCAAGGAACGACAACATTGGCAGATCAGTCCAATCCAGAAGTGCTTGAGGCCATGTGTGGGTCTTAAGGACATGCTGAAAGCATTTCAGGCGCTTGGGCTTCAGGGCTTCAGGGCCGTTTCGGCACCTCTGGGAGCTGAGCATCCAACCAATGACTGCTCCAGTGCACGATGGAGGCAACTCAGGGCCTCGAAAAGCTACTAAGAACATAGCTATATTAGGGTGCTATATTGGGGTACTATATTAGGGTACTGTATTAGGGTACTATTTAGGGTACTAGAGGATCGGAGCCCTCAATGCCAAGCCACAGGCAAGCTCAGGAATTCTGAAGTTGTTCATCCGGCATGTCCGTAGCTAGGGGGTCAAGCATGCAGTGACGAGCGAAGGTGATAGCCTTCGCGGATTCACGTTCGGAATGGGGCTTTGACAAACCCTAAACTTGACGTGACAAAACTCAAACCCTGAGCTTACAGTTCGAGTACAGTCTCTCTCTCATTGTGTTCGCTCTGACCCTGACAGAACTAGTGCGGCAATGCAGTACACGACCAGGCTTTTTTGCATACGTATGTGCATAATGTATATTCCGTATATATATATACACATATATACATATATATATATACACATACATATATATAAATGTATAAATACATGTATAAGTATGTGTATATATATATATGTTTGTGTGTATAAATACGTACACATTCTCATGATCACACTAATATACATGCGCATGTGCGTTGTGTTGAAGTCGTGAGATCCGGAGCGAAGCAGGACAGCTACAGCGTTGCGAAGTTCTTTCGTGCCCGCTTCTGGCATCGAGAACATAAACCCTAAACCATCCCTAAGCCCCGAACCCACATGCAAACCCTTCATGGACCCTGTGATCCTGTGTGAACCCTGGGGAAAAGCCATTGAGCTCGGCTTTGGCTTTGGCCTCCTGCCACTGCGTGCGACAGGCGCTGGCGGCCGCCGAGAACGAGATTACCTCTGTTCTTTTGAAGACCCTTAAGGGATACGATAGCTAGCAGGGATCATTTCCCAGTTCATCCCCACGCCCTCGCCTATACCCCACCCTACACTTTTACCACCATTCTAAAACAGTATCCTAAAAGCCCCACCTCGCCTATATCCCCACCCTAACTTTCACCCAAAACTTTTATCATAACCCTAAACCATAGCAACCTCCCAAACCCATAACCTCATCCAATACATAACCCTAAACCATAGCAGCCACCTAAACCCATAACCTTATCCATATCCTAAACTTGAACTGGGCAATGACCCCCTAATAGAAAACCCCACAGTTTTTCATCTCCTCCCACCGCATTGGAAATTGCTAAAAAAATCTTTAGTAAGATGCTATTGTTCATTACTGTAAACAGTTTTGCTAAACCCTTTTGTTCCTCTCTCTTCTTGTTGTTCCATAATGTCTAATGTTCTGGCATCTACAAGTTCAACAATCACCTTGCCATCCTTTACATAAATCATGGTCGTGCAGTTGTTTTCAACATACGGTATGTCATATAAGGCGTTCATAACTTTATCCTTTATTAATTCCAATTCTTTGTTAATCTTTGATATTTGTTTTGCATTGCAAAAAAGCGCGCCGAGCCCGCCTCTTTCAAGTGGAAGAAGCGGCTACGCCAGCTCCAAAAGGATGGGAATTGACAAGGCTGTTCATATCTTGCTTGCGGTGGAGACTGCTGAGGATTCGGGTCAAAAGGCTTGGAACCGTTGTCCATTAGGAGAGCATTTCCCAGTTCATGCCATTAGGGCAGTTGTATTATGGATAAGGTTATGGGCTTAGGTGGTTGCTTTGGTTTAGGGTTATCGAATGGATAAGGTTGTGGATTGCTTAAGTGCGTTTGGTTTAGGGTTGTGGTAAAAGTCTTTGGAGGGTTGAGGTTTGGGGTAAGGAGGTTCTTTCGGATTTTGCTTGTGCTTTGGAGCTTTGTGTTGAGTTGGGAGGTGCTTTATGTTTTGGTGTTTTTGAGGGCTCAGGTGTGGGGGAAGGAGGTTCTTTTGGTTTTGTTCGTGCTTTGGGATGTGTTGTTGAGTTGGTACTAGTAGGTGCTTTGTGTTTTGGATTGTGTTATGGGTTTTGTCGTTGTGTTGGGAAGTGCTTTGTGTTTTGTTTGTGTTCGGGACTGTATTATGGGTTCTTGGGAAGTTTTGGGAAGTGCTTTGTGCTTCGGGTTGTGTTATGGATAGTTGTGTTTGTTTTGGGAGGTGCTTTGTGTATGGGTGTCCCGAAGGGTTGAATTGCTAGGCGGGTTGAGCAATGGGATCAAAGTGGGGTACAGGCGAGGTGGATTTTTAGGGTACTGTTTTGGAATGGTTGTAAAATTAAGTGTAGGGTGGGGTATAGGCGAGGGCGTGGGGATGAACTGGGAAATGACCCTTGCTAGCTGCTATAGGGTTCTATAATTCTGTAATCGGGCTCGCCTTAAAGGGTCTTGTAGGGTTCTATAGTAGGGTTCCCTTCAAAGGTGTGTTAGGGTTCGATAATAGGGTTCCCCAAGGGGGCACTATGGAGTTCTATAGTAGGGGTCCCCTTGGATTGAGGGCTTGTTCAATCCTCTTGCTTTCACGGAATGCTAAGTTAGCAACCGGATGAGCCACATCGAGACCAAGACACATCAGGTGTCAGCCTCCTCGATGGGAACGAGTCGAGAAGCTGCAGTACCTTAGCCCTTAGACTATCAATGACGGCTCAGGTTGCAACACCTTCGGCCCAGCAAAAGTCTGTCCTCCAGTTTCGGGGGTGGGACACAAGCCATCTGGCTTTGCCTCTACGGAAATCAGTATTAGTGCCGTGGCACCAAGTTCCAGCTGCTTGCGCCGCAAGCAGTCATGGCTGCATTGCAGACGATGACATCAGGGCCTTGATTTCGTCGGCCACAGTGGAGCATGCTTTGGCTACTTTAGAGGATTTCGCGTTCCGCCATTCTGCTGAATCGTTCAGGACTGCAAGCAACATCCGGAATCTCTTGCTTGCTGGAGCTCGACGTCATGCGAACATGAACAAATTTGCCGGGTGTCACGCATATTCTCCAGTCCTCCATAGTCTCCAGCAGGGAAAGAGCCACCTGATTACAACCAGCCCTACAGCTTCACCAGAAAAGGTCCAATGACCGTCGACACTTATCATGCCACTATAATCTACTAAAATATTCTTCAATATATTACAATATTTATAATATACCTAAATTCGCTATAATATGCCAGCCTTATGATCGGCCGCACGCAGATTCTCCACTTTTTGAACTGTGCCAGAACATGCACTGCAGCCCATGGACACACATCCGACAAACTAAAGATCACGATAGGTGTGTGCATGTGTATGTATATGTGTTTGTATATCTGTATGTATATATGTATGTGTATCTGTGTATATATACATATACGCACATATATGTATATATATATACATATGCACATGTGTGTATATATATATACACACATATACATACAAAAAATATATGTATGACTGACTTGTCTATTTATGTAGGTGTATGTATACATACAATCATGATATGTGCACAGAAACCCGACCGCTGGTGGCCTGCCAGGCTCCGCCGCGCTCTGCTGCGGAAAGGGCAGACGAGACGACCACTACGTCGAGAGACTCGCGCCGCCTTTTAGGGTTTTAGGGTTTAGGGACGGTTTAGGGGTTTAGGGTGCATCTTCACGTTCAAAATCCGGTGCTGTTGAGGTGCCGGGGCCCTGTTGAAGCATGCGAGAAAGAACTTACTTAACTGTCACTGTTCCCAAAACCCGCGTCCCACAGTTCGCACCTCCAAGCTTCGTGGAGGAGTGCGAGGGCACTCAGCCATTGCGAGGCCAGGCGAAGCGCAGAGATGGCGGCGCTGAGAACCTGTCGACTTTGCAGGGTCGATGGGTTCAGACGAGAGATCAATGCGGGACCGCATCGGTCCGAGATGCTGTAAGATCTAGAATCTAGCAGCTACAGTAGCAATTCCTAAGCGCAACCAGCCGCGAGCTGTCACGAATACAGCAGCTGGCTGCCAGAGTCTGTCAGAGCCTACAGCACTTTTGAGTTGCGGGCTTTGGGCCCAAGCGCTGGCCCCTTGGTGTCTCGCAGCAATCGCAGCACCTCCTGTCAGGGCAGAAAGGACACCGAAGGCCAATCAACTGAGTCTCAGCCGCGATTTGCAGATGTGCATTTCCTTCCCGACTTGCTGCTGCACTCGAGTCATTGCTGCTCCTGCCATTGACGATGTCGACCCAGCTGCCTGATCTCCTGAATTCGGTCCTGACGAAGCCGACCTGGCGCGCAACGCAGCAGCAGGGAGCACTGCACCATTGCCCGGGTTTCTTGGGCAGCCAACGCATGGCGCATCAAACGAATGTGGGGCTGCTGGCTAATTATCAGGGTCTGACCCCGCAACCTACACTTAAAGACATGATACATGTCCCCAACAATGGAGCCCTAGAGTGAGAAGTCAGAAGTTCGGCTTCCAAGCCTGCTCGTCGCGGGCTTGGAACTGCCACTTCCGGGCGGTCCATCTTTGGCCCAGAGCATGACCATGGCTCAAGCTTCACGCGCAGGGCACTGCTGGGTTTGTCTGCAGACTGCTTCGGAGCTTATTGGACGGCTGACTGTGAGTCTAGGGTTACAGAAGTTCAGCGGTTGCAGTCCTTGTGGACACTTTGACCGGCTCTATCCACCTGTCCAGCTTTTGCTGCACGGCTTTATGGGCTCATGTTGCTTGCGCAAAAAGATCGGGACCAATGCGTCCGCTACTGCACAGCCATGGAGCATCTGGAAACATGAAGCCACTGTTGCTGAATACACCTGCGCACATCGACGGTGCACCGCCAGATTTGCTAGCAATATCTATCGGCGGCTGGCAATCAACAACTGTCAACATGAATGAGGAGCTACCGGGTGGCTTTTGACGTCCGAGCCGACAGTACAAGCAATGCACCTGTCGAAAGGCCCCGAAACGTGATGGTCCGGCTTTCTTCGCTCTTCGCTGACCCAGTTCTCACGCGAGCAGCGAACACAGCCATCAGCAGCGCCTCCAAGACACGGCACAGTCGGCATGGTGCTCATGCTCAGTATCGCAGAATCATCTCGGTACTCGAAGCAGAAGGAACATAAATCTCGCTTCACGTGTACACACTGTTTGTGTGCATTAAGACATATGCACATACATGCACATAAACTTTTACAAGTGCAAATTCTGTTGCACTACACTCTACTCTACTCTACAGCAGTACTCTACTCTACTGATACTGTACTTACAAACACATGGGGACTTCTTGGTGGTACAGCATTTTATTGCAGTATACAGTGTAATATATAAAATGAACTTGATTAAATTGCATTTGTCTATGAAAATTAGTACCTTTGTTCTACTGCAATTATGCTTTGCATATTGAATTCAACATATGCTATAGTATATTATCGTATATCAAAATATATCATACTACAGTGCATTGTCTAGTATACTACTTGTTCTAAATTATGTTATCTTATATTACATTACATGATATTTTTGTATTCTAGCTTAGGGTGATTATCATGTTAAAGTGTCCTTTGATAGAGATTATATTATGCACCAGTGCAAAACAAATTGTCATATGTAATATAAAATATGTCGTTTGATGATGTGCTCTGCTATTCTAGAATATTTTGCAGGACATCAACTACTATATTATATTGCATTATGCCAAACTTTGTTACAGCCTTGCGTATAGGACGGTGTAGTATACTACATTCGTCTAGATTCTAATATACTACATTGCATTATCTACAGTCGTCTACATAATATAACATTATTTCATGTCAAAGCATCTCTTACCATATGTCCTTAGCCTAATGGTAAATAAGGGTATTTTAAACCAGGCTATACTATGCATTATTTACTGTACCATGCTACAACATAACTATATATTGCGTCATATTATGCTTGCACAGTCCTACCATAGAATATTTCATGTTACATTGTATTCGACTATACTATATTATGCAGCATTATTTTGAATTACATTAGATTACATTAAGCTATATGATGCTACATTGTGATTGATATGATGTGTTTAGATCTGTTATGCTATTCTACGACATATGAAATCATGGTGTACTAGATGGCATTGTATTGCAGTGCATGTTGTTGTATTGTAATATGTTCTTCGACCCTAAGCTTTACTACTATATGATAGGAAATGATATGGTAAGTTTTGATAAGATATGGCACTATAAGATATGGTGTTCTCTTCTACTATACTACATTGCATTACTTTTTATACGTTTAAGACTTTACCTTTTTGGCTTTGTTGGCATACTTTTATTATGTTGCATTCTGTTAGTCTTATGCCATCTTATACTATGACATACTACATCTACATTGGGTTAGAACTTAAAGAATGTGCCATCATATCATATTTGTCAAAGCAGGCGCATTATTTTACACTATATCCTGATGTATAATACTACAGCCCATTATACATGTATTGCTCGATTTGTAACGGATATCAGAGAGAGCGAGAGAGAGAGAGAGAGAGAGAGAGAGAGAGAGAGCGAGAGAGCGAGAGAAAGAAAGACAGATAGAGCCGCAAGACTACTCCAGCACAGAACCGCAAATGAAATGGTACTATGATGACGACCTGCAAGCACAGCAATTCAAAGATAGATGCAAATCCACGGCGAAAAGGATGCTTCAGATCTAAGTAAAGCTCTGCAGCTATGTCGGATGCCTGTCTTTCAGCGTGCAACGCACCTGGGTTGAGGGGTCGGACCCCCAGGATTGGTCGAACGAAGCTTTGGAACCAGAACGAGAGCAGCTGAGATCAACGCGGTCGTGCTCGACGAAGATGGGTAGCAGTGCATCTCGATTTTCTTGCGCAGGCCTTGCGAGGATGCATCTGGTTCGTATGTAGGTCGCCCTCCAGTCGTGCGGCACAGGTGTGCAGTGTGCAGGACGTCGCGAGTGTGATGCCTTCGATCGTAAACTTGAATGACACCACATGAAGAGGCCCAGAATCATGACCTTGGAGCCCAAGGGTGGCTCGAAAGCACTGAGACAAAAGCCGGCAAGAGCCGTGTCCAACCACGCGCCGGGCGGGGCGAATCTGCAGAAAGAGCCAGCATTCAATAGATGCAGTCATGTTTTGTGTGCATTTATGGTGACCGCATAGTCCGCAGGCACGAGTCCTGGGGCGGTATGTGCCCCATCAGGAGATCCTTAAGACTCATTGCCAGAAATCTACGTCGGCCAAATCACTGCTCTTGCCAGATGGCTAAGCGGGCCAAGTCCCTGTTTGCTTGAAGCTATAACAAGTAGCGGATAGCCCACATTCAGGAATACTTTCATGTTTTGAAAACCAATCAAACATCGACAGCCACCTCTTGCGCTTTTTGCCTCACGACTGGGACGACTGATGGGCGCCACACGCGCACACAGGACGAGGCAGGGCTTAGATCCCAGTTGTCGTCGTGATCAGTGCTAGTCATGTCGGACTGACCTGAACCACCACACCGCGTGGGAAGACTGAGCACAACTTGTCGGTTATGACGAATGGGAGAGAGACAAAGACAGAGAGAGAGAGGGAGAGGGAGGGAAACAGAGAGAGAAAGGGAGGGACCCTATTGAGCCTAAGAGCAGTCCGTGCTCCTTGAAGCATTGCTTGTTGATCTTGGAAGAGGCTGAGTTTGTT